ACCTCACTTTCTGAAGGTGCGCAGGCGATGCGTTTTCTCGGTCAGGTGATGCCCTCTGGTGGCTTCAGGACTTACGGATCCCAGGTAAAATTCCTTGAGATTTTATTTAAAAAGAAAGCCCGGGAAAGGCTGTATTTTATTTAAAGAGAGATCCCGAAAGTTTAAAGAGAGCCGGATGCCGGTAGTTTATACCTGTTCTGTCTTTCTCTCTCAAGGGCACTTTCTGTAATCCTTATATTATGGTTTGGTTTGGTTTATTTAATTATGGCAAAGCACACTAGGGCTATCTGCCTAAGGGGAGAGATGCCTTCGTGGAGGACCCTTATATTATGAGTATGTTGTATATGTAATCAGAGTTTGATTAACCGTTCAACAAAATAAGCACTTGCTTAGGGCATCAAGAAAAGGAGGAATTACAAAAAAGATCATTAGGAACTGAAAGAAAGAGCGTGAAAATTTCCATTGCCGGTTGTGCGATGGAATGGTACATCTTAACCAAGACCGAGAAAGAAGAAATGAGGAGGAAACAGGCATAATAAATGGTATCTGGGGGCACCCAAATAAATGAAGTGTTTCAGGTCTTTTAAGTCCTTAATGTAGCACTGCATGTAATATTGTTAATGCTAATGCTGCTGACAATTTTTAGGTAGATGCAGTCATAGCCATATCATATTTTTCTTTTTTTAGTCATCATTCGTAAAATAAAATACAATAAAGCAATGCACATACATGTTTCCCATAGTGACATACTTGGCGAAAAGACAGACAGCGTGGTAGTCTCGTTAACAGCACAGAGAAGATTGCCAAGGTTACGATACTGGTACTAGAAAACAAATAGCAGAATTATGGTTCCGTTCTATTTTTGTTGATTGGTTGAAATTTTTTATTGTTATCGGATAAAAGATTTTAGTTTCATTTTTGCTGTTATACAAGTACATGCATCTTTAGTGTTATATAAGTAAGTAAGTATATGACAAGAATTAATTTTTAACTTCAGAAAGATTTATTATAAGAATGCTACTATTCGTAGGATAAGAAAAGAGAAATAACCAAATTGTAAAGTAGGCTTATTGGATTGTTTTAAATTAAACTTAGAAGTTTGGTACTACTCCCTTTTCGGCGGCCGCAAAAAAAATAGTTCAACTATTGTTGACGCCAGTGATGCTTAATTAATTGTGGTAAACCCAACACAGAGTACGAGTTTATTTAACGAAATTCATGAGTGCAATTTTTTTTTCGCAAGAAATAAATATTTATTAGTCCAAAGGAGCAATTTGCCCGGAAGGATTATTAATTTCGTTTTAGCATTTTGCGTTAAAACTATAAACTACGAATCACTTTTCAAATTGTTGCCACCGAATATTATCGCCCAATATTATATTTAAAGAAATTAAATAATGAAGAATCTTCATGAATGAATGTATGTTTTTCGCATTATGATAAAACAACGGTACCTAGAGCCATCAAAATTTAATTAACGTAATTTTCCATAGGCATGGGGAAACCCTAATTTGAATTTGAAATTTGTTTTATTATCGATTTCATATTTTGTAACATTTTATCGAATTTTTGATTAAAAAACTAAGCGATTTCAGAGCGATCTCTAGCGCGCGAGACTCTGTATCGGAAATTCTAAAGATATGCTCATTTTAAAATTATTTTGAGACATTGCTGTTGAACTGAATTTTATGGTTTGAGTGCGTAGAATATAATATTTAATAAATAGAGATAACACAGGAAACGGTTAAAAAAAAAAAAAAAAAAAAAAAAAAAAAGCTTTCAGATTTAAATTGCGTCCAAAGGGGCTTTTTTTTTTTTTTGGACGCAATTTAAATCTGAAAGCTTTTTTTTTTTTTTTTTTTTTTTTTTTTTTTTTTTTTAATCCAAAGGGGCTTAATCCCTGAGGAACTATCAGTTTCGTTTTGTGAATTTTGCGTGGAACCATCTCTGAATCTCCGTTTCACTTTTCAAACTGTTGCCACCAAATATTATCGCCCTGTATTATATTTGAAGAAATTAAATAATGAAGAATTGTCATAAATATATGTATGTTTCCCGCATTGTGACAAAACAGCGGTACCTAGAGCCATTAAATTTTAAATGCCATAATCTTACTGTGAATATGGGTATCTGAAAGCTCAAATTTGAAATTTGGAATTTGTTTTATTATCGATTTCATATTTTGTGAAACTTTAACGAATTTGTGATTAACAAACTCAACGATTTAAAAGCGAGCAATGGCAACGCTCTACGGGGGAAAAAAAGTTTTATCTCCAGCGCGCGGAACTGTGTATCGGAATTCTCAAGATATGCTCATTATAAAATTATTTTGCGACATTGCTGTTGAACTGAAGTTTACGGTTTAAGAACCTGATATTAAATAAATAATGGTAACACACAAAATGTAAAACGTAATTCATTTTGGACCTAATAGATATTTTTTTTTTTTTTTTTTAGTCTTTTTTTGTTTTTTGTGGATTTCGCAATTTGGGAATTGCCCATTGATGACCAGTGATTGATTTACTTCAAACAAGATCATCAAAAATAAATTTTGCAATGAGAAAAGGATTGCGAAAACAAAATTAGTTTTAAGATTCCAAAATCTTTTTTAGTCAGAATCATGAGGTTTATATTATTTCTGGTGCCAGGAGATGAAATCAACTGAATTTTGGAAATTACGACTTGAGTTGATGAAGATCGTATTTTATTCTCGAGTGTCAAAGATGTAGAAACATCTTTTGATGCGGCTTCTTAACCACAGTACGACTGTTGATTGGAACAGTTACATGCAGGAGATTTTCACAGAAGCTTTAATAGCTCCTCCAATAGTGGAAATCGGCGGGTGTGACAAAAATAGACTAAAGGAAAAAAGAAATCACTGGGCAAAAGACCTATGTTATGCGGGTTCTTCTACAACAATGGGCCTCCAGCGGATTGTGCAGAGAATCCAATGAATGCTTTTTAGTTGCAATTCCTTATCGATCGGCGAAAACTTTATTGGGGAAAATTTTATGGTAAGAATAACTGTTTATACAAATTGCTGGAAGGCATATAAATCGGGCAAACTGCGAAGATGCTGGCTTCGAACATTTCACTCTTAATCAGAATTTTCACTTAACGCGTGTGTGTGATTATGGCAAAGCCTCGAGGGCTATCTGCCTAAGAGGAGAGATGCCTTCGTGGAGAACTTTCTAAGGGAAACTGGCTCGTATACACGTTACTCATGGGGGAAAAACCACGAAAACGCCCATGCCAGTTGCTTATTCACAAAGCCTACAGACCGTTTCTTCTGCTGTTTGCTTCGATTGGTTAAAAGAGGTAGGGTTACAGAATCTAGGTGCTTGGCGCTCTTGGTTCATCGCCTCTACAATTTGTATTTTGAGCGTCGTGTACCAAAAAAGTGAGCATAATAAACCACCCGGAGAAACCGCAGCACAGTGGTAACGAGCGCGGGAATAATTCTCAGACTTCTAGGTCGCTGGTTCTATCCGCGCTCGTAGCTTTTCAAAACTCTGCTCTATACGGATTTATTTATTTAAACTTTATGAATGATTTGTCATTATTTGTCTTTTCGCTTCGGGTTTATGGTGTTTTTAAAATTAAACGCCTTTATTTCTCTATTTTGTTAATGTTTATTTTCTTATTTTTATTACGGTTTGTACTCTTTGTAGTAGGTACCAGTAAGCAAGATTACGAGATTACCAAGATCCCGAAAAAAGCGTTTCAATAGAAATAGCGCATATGGAATAAAATATAATTTTATTTATACTTACTCGTAAAAAAGAATAGGTATCCGAACACCCTTAAATGTTTACTGAATGTTTTCATTTGGTTATTTTTTTAATATTCCTTTATTTGTATAAATTAATGCGCTATGAAAATTTACACAATAGACTCTTCCTAAGTGAAAACGAAAAGTGCATATAGCTGTCTCCATATAAACACCTTTTCTTGTAACAATTACGTGGTTTTAAAAGTTTAAATTCAAATACAAATAAACTATTAATAAGATCAATAGGTTATTTAAGATATATTCCACACAATTCCTCTAAGCTTTCATTCATAAACTAAAAAAATGTTGAATGAAATAAACGCTGTTTCCGTTTGTTTAGCGTTAATTACCACGCCTACAGGGCGATAACTCGCCATTCCAAATATGACCGCCAAGCAGATGTTTCCTCCAATGAGAGCAGCCCGTAGCGAAATTGTCTGTAGGCTTTGTGAATATGCATGCAGCCAGCCCGTTCGCGGGATTCGAACCTCGGACCGAACTACCAGTGTTTAGCGACTTTACCGCTCAGCCGCTGGTGGGCCTTTTCACTTCACGAAATTTCTCATTGTCGATCCAGAAAGTTAATGTCCCACCCAAACGGTAGAGCGTCTGTGGTGAAGTGCAAAATAGAGGAACAAACGGCATGGAGGTGCGGCTCGACAACAACTCAAATCATATTTGTTTAAATGGCGACGAATGCATAAAAAAGTAAATGTTTCGATGTTGAAAGCTATTAAAAATTTTATGCCTCCTCAATAAATTAATAACTTGAGGTTTCGTATTTTTGCTTCATTTTGTGTTTGGTATTTGATTTTTTTTTGAGGGGGGAGAATTAACCATCGGCAATGGCCCCCTTCCGAAACGGAGTAATACTCGTACAAGGCCAGCAAGATATCTATTTAGCCTTGAGAAATACCTAAGTTTATCTTACATGTTAATAGTACTGGTTAGAAATAGCGACCACAGTTTTCTTTATATGCTGTTAAATTTTAATCACAGAATAAATGAACAGGGAAATGATTGCATGAAATTAAGATGTATTGTCAAACCTTGGCTACTTTTCAGAGTTGACGCAAAAAATAATCAAAACTTCAGAAGTTTGACTTGGCAGTAGCTGTCGTTTGACCGTTTGTTTTTATTTACGGTTTTGTGATGGCATCCAGCTAAAATGTGGTAAATTTGGTTTCTGATTATGCTTCTAATTACAGTATAATATTTAGAAATAGGACTTCGATTACGAAGTTAGAAGTGAATTTGTGTGTGTCATATCTGTTTTTAACTAAATTATGTAAATGTAATTAAAATTATGATCTTAAAGCTTATAAAATACATGTGTTATAAATTTTAAATTGATTTATTTTAGATATATGTCATATGTACAATAAATAAGTGCTGCTGTACTTTTCATGAAGTTCCGAAATGGACATGTTTCAGTTTTATATATCTTTTTATTGCGCAGTTTTTGTCTAATTCGGAATCACTTTACATTCATTATATTTCTGTTATTCTCCCGCCTCCAAATAATATTTATGTATGATTCAATGTTTATGAAAAAAAAAAATGATATAAATTTTTAAATTAGAATCAGATGTTGAATATTTTTAACTGGATTTAACTTTTCTGTTTCCATATTTTCTTGATCAATTATTTACTTGGATATTTTTAAATGCAGCAACGGGACAAGAGGATAAATTAAATGGCATCAATAGCAGTTATTCTCCATCTGTGAAAGGAATTCAGGTAAATGTAATCTTCAGATTTTTATGCATTTGGATTTAATTCCCTTTTCTATTCTGGAATTGAAATATTATCATGCAGTATATCAGAAGTGTTTATGGCGCATTTAAGTGCATGACGTTATGTATCAATATTTTCAAACTGTTGTGTCAGGCATTGTTATCTCATAATGCCCTTCAGGGTGTGTGGTAGAATTTTTATTTATAATTATGTATTTAATGCTAATACAAAATGCTGTATGCAAAAATGTGTTGTATATTTACCTTTAAAAGAAGAAAAATACCTTTAAGTCTTTAATGTTGTTTAATTTGAGATCAATGTGTACTAGATTATCACAGCATAGGGCTTCTTAAACTTTTTTCAGTCGCGACCCCTTTCTATCACTGAGATTTTTTTTTGTGACCTCTAGACCCCACCCATAAGCATTGTGCAAATCTGACATTTGCGTGAGTGATACCATCAATTTTTTCACTTGTACTGTAATATTCTATTGCAGTTTTAGGTCATTAACATTAATTTCTAATTTTAAGGTATAGAACAATTTTAAATAAGTAACAGACGAAATGACAGCGTCACGTACAAAGCAAGTAAAATGAACGTTTATATTATAAAAATAATACTTCGAAATGTTTTCATTTTTTGGATAATCTTAGAATTACGGTAACTTGGCAAAAATTTGGTGACCAACCCTGCTACAGCAACCTGCTAGTTTTTTTTTTTTTTCCCTCAACATGCTTAATCATGATGAAGATTAGGTGCGAAATTAGGAGAAAGTGCAGAATCACCCACTGCTTGCCCGCGTTTTTAAGAATTGCACATACACGGTATCATCCATTTACACCTCAACCTATTCACTTAAAAAAAACCATCCAGATGCACAAAATGGCATTGTGCACCACTCTTGAACTTTATACAGTTACACTGCTAAAGTCCTAGCTAGTAACCTTTATCGCCTTACCAAAATTTCGCCAAACTACCTGTTACCATATTCCAAAGATTAGCCCTTTTTTTCTTTGTCTGTATTGTCAGTAAAAATATATTTACGAATGCCTTTTGGTGATTTTTAGCATTATATGGACAGCGAGTCTGTGCAGTTCTTTGACTTGTTATTGTGGCTTTGTGTAACTGCACAAATCCAAAATAACAAGTCAGAGAATTGCAAGAACTTGGTATCGATGTACACATCAACCTATTTGCACTTGTAAAAAATCAGAGAATTGTACAAACTAGGCACTGCACCCTTTGTCCACGTACACATCGCTTTATATTCACTTAAAAAGTCGAAGGAGCAGCCAACAAAAAAATATATAATCTGTATAAACTAAATTTTAAATCAAACAATGAAATAATATAAAAAAGGAAATTCATCTGAGCACTACATAAAGGAAATATCCACTTACCTTATTTACAAATTTCCGTGTCTTCAGTCAAGCAAAATCCCATAACAGCGTCCAAAAACTTCCTAAAAGAATCTGAAGCAGAATGTGTATACTGGCATCGCCACTAAATTCACAAAAGTGAGAGTAAAAAATATCTTTTGTAGTGCCGGTATCGTCTGACGTTCGACCATACACATTTCCATCCTACAAACAGAACACTTATAATGGTTACTAAGTAAACCTCATTTACACAACAGTCAATTAATGCTTTTTTTCCTTTCGTTCCAAATCGTACAGAAACTTCAAATTAATCTTACCACATTCAGCCATTTTAATGTGTAAACCACAAAATAACAACATACTTCTTATCCAAAATCTGACACAGATTCAAGTCTTTCCAAATCTTTTCCCATCATTCAAATTCACCACAGTCATGCAATCAATTATGTCATAATAAGGTTTCCATAGAATTCAACTACTCAGGTTACCATAAATGAAACAACTTAGCAATAATCCAAGGGGCACCCTTAAATCTACTCTAACTGTATTGTCTTTCATTTTCCATTTTCAGATACATTGTGTAAAAATATTTGGTAATTATAAAATTATTATAATAAGTTAAAGAAATATCAAAACTGCTAAAATTTTTGGCACCCCCCTGCTACAGGTCCCACGACCCCCACAGTTTAAGAAACTGGCATAGAGCAATGTTCAGTTACTCTTTCCAGTTACTGATAAATGTTTTGATTGCAGACTGTCAACACTTGCAATAGTATTGCTAAGTAAATTATAGTTTTACTTTTTTTTTTTCTCTTTCCATTAAACTGAGTGATTAAAAATAAACATAATCTAAAGCAAAAAGAATACTTGAACAGGTTAATAATAGAAACTTTTAAAATGCTGCAAATTTTAGTAATGAAAATTTTTCTTCTTTGATTTACAGATAGAAAGGATAATTTCTTAATTTGATATATTTGGTATGAGCATCACAAAAAATTGTGACTGGGATAACTTTATACAATTCAAGTTTCTGAAATCTAAAAAGAGTCAGATGTGTGCAACATGAAAATGATTTTGCTTATCTATGAACTAATAAGACCATGTTTTGATTAATACCATGAAATATACTAATACCAGTTATAAGGTGGCTGTCATAATAAAAATTCTGGGTACTTTTCCTTTTGGCCGGTGCAAATCTCGCCAAGCAGACTTTATTGGCAACAACACATAGTATACACATAAATAACAAATGTTAGTTCTAAGAATTTTTTGATTTTAAAAGCATAAACATTTTAATATCATTTAAAATTTTGTAAAAAGACAATAAATAAAGACAATAAATTTGTAAAAAGCATTAATTTAAGAATTTACTACGCTTTCCATGGGTTCTATCACTGACCCGAAATATTCTTCTCCGTAAACTATCCTACAAATCTAATTCTCAGTAATATTACATTAATTTCAATTAAATCTTAATTTGGAACACAAGTTTAAAGGAATATTTATTTACGATAGTCTAGGTTATGTAAACTTAGTATCCGCTTTTTCGTAATGCCATTCTCTTAAATTGATGAATTAACTTACTAACTCTTTCTATATTTTGCCTTCCGGTGAGCGGTTTTGATGGAATCCTTAATTGGACCTTTATTACCGCGGACTTTATTTGCGTAGCTACTAACATGTAATGTGCAGTTTGTAGTTTGCTGCATTGCTTTCTACTATATTTTCAAAATAGATCTGTCTTAAAGTAATTTCTATACAGTATCAGTACGATATGCTCTCTAAAGAAGTTTATTTAGCAGAAACGAAGAAGAAAATTTTGTTTTCCGAAAGAAAAAGAAGCAACATCCACAGCGTCGGTGAAAACCTAAGCCATAACACGGTTTTGAAGCAATTTCTATCAAAGGCGTAAAATTGAACTATCTGGTAAAATTACTATGTAATTTTATGCCAGTATTGAAAGAAACAATCAATCCGATAAGAAATTGCTGCTACTTGTTTTGAAAATCAAGCATAAAAGGTTGCCATTAAGGATATTCCCTTTGGCATCGGTTGTACAATTTTAGCGACTTTATCGCCTGCGCCGCCAAAATGGAAAAGTACCAAATTCTAAATCTAAATCAATCAATATAAAATATCATGTAATCATAGGTATTCAATTTATTGTGTCACTAATCAAAAGAGAGGTTAGAATAGACTGAAGGGTACCTCTTGTATTATCACAAAGTTGTTTCATTTATTGTGAAGTTGTTGTTTCATTTATGGTAACCTGAGTAGTTGAATGTTCCGTAAATATACTTTTACCCTGAATTGGGTGCTCCTTTGACTTTTTAAGTGAAAATATATCGATGTGTACATGGCCAAAGTCAAGAGATTGCGCAATGTCAAGTGAGTGCAATTCTCTGATGTTTTTTTAACTGAAAATAGGTCGATGTGTACATGAATAAAGTCAAGGGGGTGCACAGTGCCTAGTCAAAGAATTGCACAAACTCAGTATCCATGTACTGCCAAAAATTACCAATTTTCACCAAGGGGTATCCGTAAATATACTTTCACCAAAAGAGATTCTGTGGCATGCATGTTATCTGTAATTCTGTAGTATGCATGTTATCCTTCCATAGGTAGTTGTTTGCTAGCATTTTGATCATAAAATTCTTTTGTGTGATCTTTATTTTCATGTAATTAATTTTTAATATTTTTGTCTAATTAATAATTGTTATTTTAAAGAATGGAAGTAATGGCACTTCCTCTGAACACAGAGAACATAGCTCATCTTTGCCAAGTCATAAACCTGAAGATTATTTCCGAAGTGGAACAAAGTTAGCATTTACTCCAAATACAGTTATTACAGGTAAATATTCTTATTTGTATTCAGACTCTTATCTAACTATGTGAACTTCTTAAAATTCCTGATGTCATATGCATCATGAATGATACTTTACATATTGCATACATATGTGAAATTTCTGCAAAATTGAAGTTTTCATTTTAATAGTCAGAATTTTTTGAATTCTAAAAAATGGATTGATGGCACAAAAACTGACTGAAACCAAAACAGAAATATTAAAAATGTTAAAAGTATTATCATTGGTTATCATACTCAACACAGGTTTTTAATATTTATATTTAAAGCAACAGTACAGAAATATTTTGATATTTTAATAATATTA